GACAGTGGGCACAAGGGGTGGCCTAACGGGGCACGGCCTTCACACTGCAACGGCTCCGCTCTCTCCGGTGTGAACGGGTGCGAAGAGAAAGCCAGACCTCCCGCACGCACCCGTCCTGCCTGTGCTCAGAGCGGTGCTCCTCCCTGCCGTGAGCTACAGCCCCGGCCCAGAGCCCCCCAGCACCGCTGCTCCCCAGGAAGACGTGGGACATGCCTCCTCCTCTCCCTCTGCACATGAGTGACCAAAATCAGACTGAGGCGTCCCCAAAGGCAAAGCCCACGGGGCAGCTCTGCAGCCAGCACACTCCCCGGGACACCCACCTGGGGCAGAGGGGAGGAGCGACGTGTGTCTCAGCCTCTTCATGTGCTCGGCTCCATCTGCTGCGGTGAGCCGTGTGGACACCACACCCAGTTCCACGGCCAAGAGCTGCGGGAACACAGAACAGCCGCGTGTACGCGACACCCCCACGGGTGACCCCGGCATTCCCCCCTCGCAGGGGAGCGTGTCAGATGTGCGGGGCTGCGTGGGGCCATGGTGAGGGAAGAGGGCTGGGAACCGATTTCTCAAGGGCCCCAGCGCTGCGTTCAGCGTCACATGGAGCACGTGAAGGACCAGTGCGAGGCAGTATCATCCTGCCAAAGCAGGCTGCCAGGGAGATACCACATCTCTGGGGCAGGAGCTAGGAAGTACCCAGCATGCAAGGGAAAGGTGGAGAAACAATCGTTTCATTCGATTTGTGTTATTATGAAAAGGGAGTGAAAGGTTTGAACTAGATGGGGAGAGTCTTGGTAATGGGCAGAAAGGGCAAATGTCAGGTAGCAAACAGGCCATGGAAAAACAGAATAATTATAAGGGACAATAAATACAGGCCGGAGTTCCCATCACACAAACACACCCCTCCAGGAATGGCCTTTGCAACGCTGCTGGCACCCCGCTCTCCTCTGCGACCATCCCCGAGCGCAGCAGCCCTATGCACCCCTCTCCCACGCCATCCTCCTACCTCCTGCACTCGGAGCGCAAAATCCTCGCTCGGCTCTTCAGCTCGTCTGGGGACAGACGGCAGCCACCTGAATGGGGACAACAGCACTGGGCCGACGGCTTTGCGGGCTGCTGGGGCAGCCAGCCCCCTCTGGGATCAACAGCGCAGCAGTGCTACCCCACCTCGGCTCTCCCTGCTCACCCCACAGCTCTCCCCGCAAAGACGAGTGTCAAGCTCCAATGCCAGCTTGCAAAATGAAGGGCGAGGTGCGGCTCAGAGGACAGAACTGGCCCACTGAATTTTTGATAGCACTGAGGCGCAACATGCAAAGTATCTCCTAAGGAAGCTCCCAGAAAGGCCCCAAACGAGGGTGTGCTGCCATTAACACAAAAATAGAAAACGGAGCAGCAAGACCGGAGCCAGCTACGGCTGGGGAGAGGTACAGCACAAGACTTTACAGAAGTACCCCAGCCCCTCAGTTTCACTCCAAGCCCCTCCCGCTGCCTATGGACCCTTATGACACCAAAGCTACTCGGCCAGTGTTGCTCCCCTGGGCAGGACAGGCGTCCAAACCACCTCTGCAGCTCACAGGGGACTGCAGGGAATCACCCCTGGGACCCAAGCAACCCTGGGGGAATTACAGCAGGGCAGCTAGCTTCAAAAATACATCCAGCAAATGCCACATGAAAGCCCAGAGAGAGCCCTCTCCTTCACCAGCTGAACGCAGAAACCATGAGCCCTCTCTGCTCCAGGTGGACCTGGCACAGACTGAGCAATGCTGAACAAAGCCACGCTGATACCACAATGAGGGGGCACGTCAGCGCATACCAACAGAGCTCCTACTGCAGCGCAAAACCGCTGGGCGCTCTGCCCACCCCAAACCCTGCCCCAGCGAAAGAGAGAGAGAGGTAGTACCTTACTTGATAAACTGTGAAGGGAACAAAGAAGGTCCAGAGCAGCTCTGTCACCCAGGAGGAGTCGGCCACACTCTGGAGAGAGAGCACAGTGAGATCACAGCCCATGGAACACGAGCCAGCCAGGCCTCCGTCAGGGAAGCAGGCAGGCAGCACACAGCGAAGCCATGGCAGCAAGCAGCAGACACACAGGCAGAGAGATGCGGAGGGCTGGGAAGGACGGAATGGCAAACCCAGCGCAGCGGGCAAGCCCAGCGCAGACTCACCTTCCTGAGTCTGCACCAGGCAGAGCAAGAGAGTCAAAGTTTTCAGTGCTCCGAGGCATCTTTTCCTCCCCCTAGGGCAGCAAGATTTGCCTTCAATATCCCCCACTCTCTGCTAGACTGTGCCTTTAGAAAGGACTGAAAATGCCTCAAGACCCACTAACACTTCCTCAGAACCAGGAACAGTCCTCCCTTTATTCTGATGGGAAGAGCCCAGGTAATGTCTTGACTCCCGTCAGCTTTCTCTCTTCATTTCCAAACAGGCTGCGCTGCCGAGTCCCACACAACTCTCCTCTTTGAAGAAAAATCATTAAAGGCAAGCTGTAATTTATTACTTTCTGCCTTTTTCTCAGATCAGTAAATAACCTTTTCCCGAAGCAGCACTGGCAAAGCACTCCGACGTGGGGGGCTCTCTGTCCCCCCCAGCGCGACACAGCTGGACCATGCTGAAAGCCAGCCTGGCTGCGGGCGGAAAGCCGCACTACAGACCTCCAGAGGTTCCCCGGACCTGCATTTCCCAGCTGTCCTAAAGGATCTGCTGTGGAATGGATGTGGCTGCTCAGATTTTTGTAGGTGGTTACTTGTATCCTGCAGTGACTGAACTGTTCCACAGCTGGTGAGATCCACAGCGTGCTGTCGAGCTGCCGGGGCTCCTTTTACACCCGACAGCAGCGTGGTTCCCAGACAGGCCTCGTGCCTGGTTTATTCCACAGCTTGGGAATCATAAAATCATAGAATGGCCTAGGTTGAAAAGGACCATAGTGATCATCTAGTTTCAACCCCCCCACCATATGCAGGGCCGCCAACCACTAGACCAGGCTGCTCAGAGCCACATCCAGCCGGGCCTTGAATGCCTCCAGGGATGGGGCATCCACGACCTCCCTGGGCAACCTGTTTCAGTGTGCCACCACCCTGGGAAGAGCTGCTATAAATGAGAAAAGCCCAGAAACAGCCACCAAAGGCATGTAAAGAAGCCTTATCTCCTGGATAAAGATCTAAGAAACCTAAAATCAAAAGCCTTACAGGAACGCCAACAGCCAGGCGCCAGCCACACTGCTGTGTGACCCAGAATGACACCCTCCTTCGAGGTGCCAGCCAACTGGAGCTGGAGAAAATTATTTCTCAAACTCAAGTGTGGTGGTTTGCTCAGCCCAGCATCTGATATAGATCACCTCAGTGTCTCATAAAGCTTTCTGTAGAACACTGATCAAACTATTCAAAGTATTGCATCTCCACTCCTCGGAAGTTTCTGATGGTTTAAAATCCGACGCGAGATCCACCAGGGTCGACTCAGCCAACATGCATGAAGGGCACAAAGTCCCGCTCGAGCTCTGCAGGGAAGAACCTGAGCAGAGAGGTGACGATAACCAGCACCTTCACACAGACCCATGGTTACGTGTGCCCTGTTCTCCCTGACATTCAGGAGGGAAAGGACAAACACACAGTTGGTCACATCTCACAGAATTTCCCAGAGGAGCCAAAACCGTAAAAAGAGAAGATATCCACCGTGACCAGTACAGAACAGGACAGCTCTTCCCGCTCTCTGGAGGAGTCATTCAAAAACTGAAAGTGTCCTCACTGTCAGCAAGCTGCATGGTGATCCAAACCTGAGCTTGTGCAGTGCGCCTGCAGACTGCTCTCATGCTTTGTCAGAAAAAAACAATCCTCTGGTCTCAAGCCTCTTCTCCCCTGGGCAAGCAGCCATCCACGACAGCCTCTCTGCCCTTCCACTGACGAGCCGGTTGAGCCGAGTGCCTGCAAGAGCTGCTCTCTGGACCCCGCACCGTGCTCACAGCCTCCCTGAACCCCTGCTGCTGCCTCGCTTTCCTGGCAGCAGGGTCACCAGAGTTTCACACAATATTCCAGCAGTTTTATCCTCCCCGTGACAGACACGCCTCGTTACGCACCCACAGGCTCTGCCAGGCTCACATGTAACAGCCATTCCCCGGCAGCTCCCAGCGGTTCACCAGGTCACAGTCGATGTTCACTGACCCGGCTTCACCAGCAGGATCTCAGCACCGTCATCTGCAGCGTCCCTAACAGCACCGAGCAAAGAGCTAACCCCTGGCAGAACCTTGCTGTAAAAACACCTGCGCGCTGATGTGTTAGCACAGGCAGCAGTGTTTTGGGACCTGCGGGTAAGCGGCTCTAAATTTATCTGCTGTCCCACTACCTGAAAAGATGGACAACAGAGAATCAGCTAAAATGTCAGACAAATTCAAAATGGAAAGTCTTGTACTCAAGCAGATCCATACATCACATCAAGAAATAAGAAATTCAACGAAATCTCACCCTGAAATAAGCCGAGAACAACTCTACTGCGATCTCCTCAGCAGCGCTGGCATTGCCACCGTGAACTCTGCCACCTCTCTGAAGTTCACGTTGCACCGTGCTACACATCTGCACCCGGGAGCTGTGAGCTCAGGACCCTCCTCCAGAGAGCCCGCTGTAGCTGCTGGCACAGCAGCCAACCTCCACAGAGCTGCTTCAGCTCCTTCAAAGCATTTCAAAAGGAGGGATCTCACCCAGAGGAGAGGAGACACAGCGATGCCACGGCCATGGAAGCCAGACGGCACCTTGTTATACAGCTGAGCTGCTAAAACCTTTATCAGCACTGCCAGCGTAACCACGAGCACCGACTACGCCACAGCTCCCTGGGAAAGGCACTTAGAAAACAGCGTCAGCCCCGAGAAGCTGGTCCCTGGGGTGACGGGACACCAGGCCAGCCACGCTGCCCACAGGCTTCACAGCAGAAGCAGCGTTATTGGCGTCACCAAGCCCCGCATGGCACACAGCTCCACACCTCCCATCCCGCGTCCCTGACTCACCACAGTGATCAAAGGCCTCTGCGCTTGTAGGGCAACGGGCTGCACCACGTCCGAGACAGAGAATGGCCACGAGCTGGAAAGGAAGAGCTCAGCAGTGAGCGACCCCAAAGATAACACCAAGCAAGGACAGCCCTGCCGTGGGAACACCCATCCCCGGCACCTGAAGCGGAGCAAACCAGCCCGGCCGTTGGTGGCAGCCTCCTCCGGGAACAGCAGCAGCGGCGGGTTTCCTCTGTGGGACGAATACACCTTCAGGGAATCCACCAGCTCTGCTCGGCTTCCTGTCACTCCCAGCTCCATGAATCCCCGCGACCAGCAGATGAAGCCCGGGGCACCGTTCAGCGCAGGCTGCGTGGGAGAACAAGAGTCAGGAGGAAACGTCCTGTCCTCCCCTCAGGGCAGACTTTCCCAGACGATGGTGGGAGACAGAAGTTCCTGCTCATTAGCAGAAACGCTTCTGGAGGCTCAGGGAGCAGCCTGAAGGCTACAGGCACCAGCAGCAGAGAACACATTACTGCCAGGCTTCAGAAACTGCTCTGGCCTCAGCTCCCCAGGAATGAGATCCCTGATCTTCAGTTCAGACTGGACCCTGTCTGCCAGAAAAACAAACTCCCCCTGCCCCGGGCAACAACCACGCTTCCCCACGTTCCCTCCAGCAGTTCTGACACTCCTGGCAAAGGACACGCTGCTTCCAAGAGTTACTCTTCTCCAGGCAAGGAGCAAGTCTGTTGTTCAGGATACAGGACCAACCAGCTCACCCCCAGGCACATTCGGAGCCCGTTGATTGGGGAGCTCCACACGCAAGGAATTTCAGAAGAGCACAGGGAAAGTTACATAACCCCCAGCCCAGCAGAACGACCTTATCAGCAACCCCCACCTCCCTTCAGCACTCCTCTGCGGCACAGCCAGCCATCCGCACGCCGAGACGTGGCACCCAGCGCTGTGGGAAAACCCCACGACCACCCTGCTTCTGCCACCAGCCAGCTGAAAGGCCAGAGACAGGCACAGATACCAGGATTTGCCCGCTCTCTCTCAAAAAAATCAACACCCACTGCGACACTTCCTGCTCCTCCTCGCCCTGTTCCATTGTTTCATGCAAAGCCTGAGAGCGCGACGCTGAGCTACAGAGAAAACCCCAAGGCTTGTGCAATCGCGGGTTAACAGACAAGATCTAAGACCGTGCCAACACTGAAACTCTGAAGGAGCTCTCTGTGCACTTGGAGAGGCGCTGCCCCACTCGGCTCCAGGGTACTCACTGTGTTACACGAGGTCAGGAGATTGATGACGTTGTGATCGAACTGCGTCACGTGGTTGGCGATATACACCCTCACGCTGACATTGCGAAGCCGGGGATCGCTTTCCCGCACAAATAAGCCCAGAACTGAGCACATCACACGCACAATGAACCTGGGGGGGAAGCGGTTTCCTCACATCCCACAGTCTGAGCTGTTGCTGGCTCACAGACCCAGCACCCACAACACAGACCCGGGAACTCCTGTGACAAAGGACACCAGCACAGAACGTAAACGATATGACAAATGTCTGGGCCAGGAACTGTTGGGGGGCTGCAACTGGGACTGGAGGCTGCCTGCAGAGCTGTGGGGCAGCAAGGTGCCACGGGACCTCTTAGCAGGACACCCAGATGATCCCAGTGTTTCAGATCAGCCTTTGAGCGCTCAGGAGGCAGCTACCAGCTCTGGTCTTGGCAGAGAAGGCACCTGCATGGGTTCTGGGGACAAAGCGTCCCAAAAGCACAGCTCCCCATAGCCCCTGCACGAGCCGTGCCCCCACGGCTAAGGACCCCAGGGAGGAAGGGCGCCCTCCCGCCCCACGCTGCCCCCCCCCCGTCTCTGCACACTGCATCCCAGTCCGTGCAGCCGCAGGAGCCCCGCGCCCGCGGGAGCCAGGCTCACGCACCGTCGCAGCACGCTGTCGGGCAGGGCGCAGCTGACCAGGAAGACATGCACGCCGAT